TTCCGAAGGCTCTTCACCCTTTTACATAACAATACTGAGAGCAGGAGACTTACAGGCTTGATTCACACTAGGAAAAACATTAAGATTGCTCTTCCATACATAGTCACCAGAGATACAGCCAAAGATGAATCCTATCAGTAAGTGGATGGAAGTAAATGAGAAATAGGTAGGACATGATGACCTTCCATCAACCCCAAACTCCACTTCTTCCTTTTGAGCCACAGCCATTTCCATTTCTGTGGCTATAAATTGCTCAACTACTCAAAATTACTCTAAGAAAAATCTGTTTGTGTTCAAGGCTACAATCAGTTAATCCACTCCCTGCAAATCAGTCACAGAAAGAACGTGAAAAACAATTATCCTTCCTACAGAAGCCTATACTGACCTAACTGACCAATAAATAGGTAAGAAGCTTTTTCTCTATCTAATCTATGGTTACATTTCTTGTCCGATCAAAAAGAAACTCTACTGAAAAAAGATAATTTGCCATGTTCTTAACAGTAATGACTTACTTACCAGGCACTTTCCTTCTGTTTGATGTTTGAAAGCATGTTTATATCTGCTGTTGCTCTTCCATCATAGTGAAAAACTTCCATCCTTTTGGGCTACACAATCAATCCCCCACCCGCAAACATGGACCGAGTATACACCGATTAAGTTTTAAAGTTTCCAAATTACAAGAGTCACAAGAAACAAACAGCAGTTTCCTTAACAATTTAAGAAAAAATAACTTCTAGTGCTGCTACATTTCTATCAAAAATAACACTGTCAACAGAAGTCTTAATTTATTTCCAAGTGTTCAAACTGTTATTACACATATGCCACTTAACTATTTTTTATTTGAACATTAAGGTAATTACAGTTGGAGGGCTCATATTTCCAGTGGCCTCTCTGCAACAGAAACCACCAGAGCAAAACATGAAACATTTCACATGGTTAACAATATGACATTTGAGTTACCAGAATTACAACCATCAATTTTTTTGCTAACAGATCACATAAGTAGGGGCATTTCCTGTAACAGAAATATCAAACGTAGTACTGTATTTGTTTAATTTCAATATGAACATGTCTACATAAGAGCAACATTGTACATGACAGTTTGATTTATCACATATATGGTACTTTGGCAGCTCTGTGATATATTTTTTCCTCCTAAGCTCCATAGTAGGTTTAATTTATAAAACATATTGCTAGTATGTCCTGCATAAACATCAAGAATCAAATGCATCCTTCTTTTGCCACTTCAGTGGGAAAGGGAGCAGTGTTTTTACTTCATATTAACACAGCCTTTCCACACCACTGTTTTCTTCCATGGTCACTTCTACACGAACCCTAACTACCATTATGTCTGCAAGAAAATAATCTTTATTAAAAAAAAAATGTGAATTTTCTTCTCAAACTAGAAAGACTACAGCTGCAGACAATTACATGACAAATCACTACCAACTTTTATTTCAAAATAACACTGAATGTGTCAAATTTTTATCAAATATCAACCACGTCAGTCATCTGAGTTGCAATGAATTCCCTCACAATTCAACTCATCATTTTGAGTTCATTTGTGAAACTGACTGGTTCATTAGTTACCTTTTTCTGTAGGACATGCATGCAGGTGTTAAGACTGGCTCAGGTAAAATATCTATTTTATCATCATTACGGGCAGAAATATAACTGGCAGATGGAAAACTATTTTTAAATGCACAAGCTAAGTAAAATCAAACTGCTCCAAGTTTTATCAAGTGAAATATGATTAACAGCTCCAGTAACTATCACCACAAATTCAGCTAGGAAGTTATCTAAAATAGGAAGTAATAGTTCTTGGTTAAAAATTACTAATTTCTTTGAACACTCTACTATCAGTTTCCACAACAGAACTCATCACTATATTAAAACCTTTTCACTTAACTCTGCCCAAATGAATGAATTTAATTCTCTACCTTCCCTGAACGCAATCATATTGTACTCTGATACATAACCGCCATGCAATGACCTACTACCGCAGTAAGGTAAGTGAGGACAATGTTCCCTCTAATATAATCATGCACTTCAAAGTAGCCACATGAAAGTTCTGAGGTAAAATGTGTGAAATCTGGTTGCAAAATCTCAGATTTAAAGGGAAAAAAATCACATAAACATACTGCAAATAAAAAACACCTAGAACCTGTCGACAGTGATCTGAAGCAATTTATTTCATTCACTCATCTCTGAAATTTTAGCAGATATTTCATATTTATTCTATTTGGTCCAAATATTCCTACATGCCTTTAAGAGTCACTCAAAAAATAATGTTGTGCCCAAAAATGCATCTGCTGACACAAAACATCTCTTCAGTTTTTTTATCACTCTCAAGCAGTTCTTAAAAACTGAGATTTCCTGACCTATACAAAAACAGATCTTAACTTTACTTTTTAATATGTCAACAATGGGTAAGTTAAAAAGCAGGTGGAGGTATCTCACATAATATTTAAATTGAATAATATATATTTAATGTGATGAAGTCAACCTTCCTCAGCCTTCAATACTTCTTGGTATTGAATTATAAACTCTGCAGCACCGGAACAGTCTGTGTATGGCACTTCTGTGCATGTCTGCAATATAAACAATTATATTACGATATTCCAAAATTAAACAAATAGTAAATCCTGTTTACCTATACAAAATTTAAAAAGTACATTAACATGAAATGGGAAAATTACAGCTGAACCAATTAAGTTGTACATTCATCACTAGATAGTCTTGAAATACCAAATTTCGTGAAGTTGTTTCATCTTCTTCCTTCGATTAACTGAATTAAGTCAGAAAATGAACTCTTCTCCAATTCTGCTAACATACATTTCTCCACTGCAGTTATGTGTCAGCTAATTTTGATCTTTCACCATTAACTTCTGTACTGGTGTGCCCCTTATCTCTCAGAGTTCTACTCAAGCATCATATTCTCCATTCTTCATTTCATTACTTGTGACACCTAGCAAGAAAGCCTTCAACTGGGGCAGCATCTAGTCTAATAGAGCTTCCACTGGAGAGAAGCTTCTCTTACCAGACCAGTACAATGGCTGACAAGCAAAGTTCACTAGAGTCATGATCCACTAGGTACCAGCGCTCCACTGTAAGCGCCAGGTATCTTCTGTGCTGAAGACAGAACAGCTGTGTGCATGTAAGCCACACAAAGCAAGCCAAGTTAAGTGGTTTGGGCAGGCAGTGTGGACAGGGCAGAAGCATGATAGCCAGGCATTCTGGCTGAAGCAATTTTAACCCTGTTTGACTGTTTAACTTGTGTTACTGCCTAGTTCAAGCATCGTTGTTTACACAATACTCTCAAATGAACAAAAGCCCTACAAAGACAGGTTAACTGTTCTTTTGTATAGAATAACTAGTCAGTATGTGTTCAAGAATAGATTTAATGCAAAGCTTGAAAAGGGTGTCTAACTAATAACCACATTTGGAGCTTTTAAATACTATCTTACTCTGAGGTATATGTCTATTACTGTAAAAGCTTATGCATCACATTCTAAAATCTAGGGTCCGAGAAAAAAAAGCTATTTGTATCTTCTAAGTCAAGCAAGCTATAGAAAAATGGGAAGAAATAGCATGTGGCTTGTGTTCAAGTGTTATTGTTTAGCATAACACTTCATGCAAGTAATGCAAAAAGGCCTATATATTCGGGACTGTTTACATCTGAATAAATAGGGTAAATTAGCAAATACAGTATTTAAAATTATCTACAAAAACTGTGTTTTACCCAGTATTCACTGTTTGTATCAAGTCTTACAGCAGAAAGCTGTCAGGGCAATACCAAAGAGTATGAAATACAAGAAAAAAATTAAATAGAGACGTTTTAAGAAACCTCTGCAGAAAACAAATTCATATTAACTCTTAACTAAATTGAAACTAAAACAAAGACTAAAGCTATTAGGTGGCCTTATCAGCAAACACCTTCAATCAAAAGGCCATAACCAAGTATGCTTTACATATTATTTGATTTGTTTATTTTACACCATGAGGTGAAAACAACATGTTTCCTTTTAGTAAAGTATACACAAATAGCCTCACTCAGAATACACTTTTAATGCACATAAAAAAAGTATTAATCTTACAAATCGTTTTGCAATCCAAATATACAATAGCTTGGAAAACAATATTTTAGAAAACAAAAGCCAATGTAAAAAGACCGCTTGAAACAACTAAAATGATAAAAGTTTCTGTATGGCTTTGTCTTTACAGTTTTCTTACTGCATCATCAATATCAGAAATCTGTTCCTTCAGCTGGTTCCACTGTTCTGGATTTAAAGAAATACCTGAAATGCATTAAAAATAAACACTTAAGACAAAGAAAAGTGTGGTGCAGGATCTTGCATTATTAATTACTATCAAGGCTGGTTTCATACACAAAGTCTGCTGTAACTATTAATGCTTGAGCCACTTTAACATCAGTCTCAGCTACAAAGTGAAGCTCATCATTTGGAACACTTTAGACTTTAGCTTATCTCCAGACAAGTTTAAACTACCAAGAAAATGAGTACAGCATAACAAATTCATTGACAAGTGTTAGGCTAAACACAGGCAGTGAAATACAGCTCTGGTTTTCATAGAAGGTAGAACAAAAGCCCTGGGTGCGATATGCAAAATCATTCGTATTCCTGTTGGCTCCTAAAAGCCATACATACCTCTGTGGACTTAACTTCCATGCACTTTTAAAGTACCATAGTTGTTGTTTTGGGTTTTTTTTCATCTTGTTTCTTAAAACACATACTATAAGTAACATTTTTGAGAGACTCCACTCCCTAGCACCCACAATCCAACACAGAAGCTATTTTTTCCACTTCAAGTTCACTACAGTTTCTAGTGACATTCCACCAATAATCATTCAGTGCCCCACAACCCATTCTCCTCATTTCTAAATTTGTACTTCATCACGCTTGAGTCCAGGCACATGTTTCCTTTGTGCTTTAGTCTCCTCATTCTTCCCCTACAACCTCTATGCCAACTCTATGCAAGTACAGACTCACAGGCCTACCTCTCATACTCTCTCCAGCCAGGGACTATTTACCCTCACTCTCACCCCTGAGTGATCAGGCTTCCTTCATTCCTCTCTCCCTGTAGGTGAGGCAGGACCTGAAAGCAGGTGAAACTTTGCATTTCATTTTTGGGACTCAAAATCTTTTCTTTTTCTTTTTCCTCTTCTACCATCACTGTCTTATCAGAGCATCACTATAATTTTGACTAGTGAGAAGTCTGCATGGAGCTATTCTAAGCAGTTTCCCCCTTATTGGGGGACAAAATGTTGTCAAGATGTCCCTGAAGCCCATAGCAGGTGAACTGCACGCAGTTCAGACCTGCTGTTTGAAACACAGTAATTTAAACTGCTGGATATTTTTTCTGGTTTTTATTACACAATTTCAACTGCTCGTATTGTTCTTTGGGTAGATAGATAAGTGGCTCACAAGTGCACTGGTGGAACGTTAGACTCCTACTGTATCAGTTTATAATTAATTTTATCCTAGTAAAATTCAGACCCTTTTGCCACATTGATAAACATTTCTATCTACATCATGTAATTTTTGTCACTTGGTCTATCCACCAAATCTCATTGTGGTTTACCACTCAGACTGCACACACTTTTGATCCCCACCTCAAAACACAGCAGTTTGAAGTCCTTAAAAGTTAATTTTTTTAAGTAGCATCAACACATCTGAAACAAGGAATTTCCCTGTACAGTATAAGTACCCCTGTTCATACAAACCTCTTCTCAGTGGTTATTTAAGAAACACTGAAAACGCTTCCAAATGTCTATTCACTGCATTGCTCCTGGACACACCAGAAGAATTTATCAACCCTTATGCTGATTCTACATTAAATACCTTCCATCTCCAGGGCAGAATGTTTCATACCTACCTCTTCTCCTTGGCACAATATGCAAATCAATAAAAAGCAGGCTTTTCTAACAGAAGCAGCATGATGTTAAACAAAACACTACTACTGCAACTATCCTCACACACCCATCTTGCAGGTTGCAAAGTTCTGAAAATGGTTCAGCGAAGGCATGGCATGAAAAAGCAGGTATGGGAGTAACAACTAAAGGTACAAAGGCTTACACTGTGCTGCAGATTAGAAGCAAGTACCAGAACCTGAACACTTGAGGTATTTTCACTCCAACTAAACTCTTTACATATTTTTTCCAAAATCAGTCACATTAAATGTTTTTAATTATTTTGATCTAAAATCTGTTAGGAATTGAATGACATAATTGTTTTAAAGAAATTAACATGTTATCACCAATGACTAAGTTAAATATTTTCAGTGAATTTTGAAATGAGAAGTCCATTTTTAATAAAAGAAAGAAATGGAGTTGACTAAGTTAATTGGGGGGG